AGATAATTAGTGTGCGGACCATTTTCATTTATATAGTGCTCTGTGAAGACAAATTAGTTAGCATAAATCAGTTAAATGACGAAAACTTAGGTGTCTATTTACTTGTGACCACTCAGTGTACATCTGGTGTAAGAGAAATGGTAATTGTAGTCCTGTATCTTTCAAAGATACATTAATAGGAATAATTATGGAAACAGAGTCACACACACACAGCAAGTAATACCAATTAGAGGGTGAATGTATCACAGAAAATATAAAAGTGATTAAGCTGTACAACACACTTGTATTTTGTATGTAAGCCTTTTTCTTTATACAGAACATTACACTTTGTTTTTATGTTGCCATACTGTTTATCAATGTATGCCTATGGAATATTTTTCTAATTGTCCTGTATTACTTTCCACAATTCAGCAAGATTGTTTGGTTACCTTTTGCCCTTATCAATTTTTTGATAAGCACACATAATATCAAGGATGTTCGTATCAGGATTTTGTGCAGGCCAAGCCATTATGTGTGTGTTCCATCAGCCACTTTATCATCAAGATATCATTTCACCATATTTGCTGAATACTTGTAATAATTATTTTGCTGGAAGATGAATCCTCACCCAGTGAGTTATATTCCTAAGGAAATGGCATAATGAAACAGAATCTAATTGTACTTGTAAGAAATCAGTTGTTTTATAGATTACTAACACCATTATCTGAGATGCAACCCCAAACTTATAATGATCCTAAACCTTGCTTCATTGTAGGTTTTGTAATATTGACTTGGATACCATCTTCCTCTATGCTATTGAACAAACCGAGTTTGTTTCCAACTGACTGAGCTTGCATTAATCTGTAAAAAGCACATATTTAATGCTTTGCTCATTCCACTATTTTTGATCCAATGTATATTTCAAACTTTTGGTTTATTTACCTCTTCTCAGCAATGATTTTTGAGCAGTTATATGTAAAGTGAGATTACTTCATGCTAGTATGTACCTCACTGTCCTCAAGGTAAAATTCATACCTGTATTTACAGTAAGGCCACTGGCAACAACTGTACCAGACCATCATCTAATTTGTAAAGTATACACTCTAACATACTTAACATCACTTTTGAAGATATTTCATTCTTTACCTTGACCATTTCTGTTATTAACATTGACAGTTTCATATACCCTCTTCAGAATCTTGCTTACAGTTCCTACTAAAACATGAAGTCTTGCCACAGTTTTTCACACTGGATATTTCTTGACTAACAAAAACTTTGATGTCTACCTGCTTGTCATGTACTATTTCAGTCCTTAGAGCCATAAATGTATTTAAACTACTACTACTGGACATGGCATGATTGCTTATACTTTTATATACTTTATACTGATGTGGCACTTTCCCATTGGTTGGACAGCAACCAATGACAGTGAAAACGTAACAGTACTTTGGTGCTTTTTATACATTTTTTTTGTGTGCATCATTTGCATAATTATTTCCAATACTGAATCTGGCCAATTTTTTTTCAGAAAAATCAGTTTTCTTTGGTAATCCATGACATGATTGATCTTTCTCAATCAAGTGAACAAACTGCTCATCAGTAACAACATTAGCTCAAGTAGACCTCGAAGTATATTGCACAGTGTTTATTTTTTCAGGTGGTTGTAAATTGGGATGGTATTAGGTCGTCAAGAAATTAATGTTGCTTTTTTTTTAATTAAAAAA